AATATTTAACATACGGCTGCAATCCGAAGTAGCGGTTTTTCGCTAAATCATTAGTTAATGTATCCGATGCTTTCTGATGAGGACCTAATGCACTCTCACCCAACTGAAATATAACGAAATTTTTGTATGTAAACTCTCAAAGACCTGAATTTCATAGATTCCAAAAGCAACCTCTAGACCTTTTTCAAGAATCCTTGAATTGCCACCTAACAGGTTGTATTGATATACATTATACTTAACCTAAAGATTAAGTGCTTCATACAAGTTTGCCTAATCGAGATTCGATTTTAAAAATGCCACATGTTGTATTGTAAATGGCACATACAAATGTTCCCGGAAGCCTTCTTTCGCCCTTTTTTGGGGCTCAGGTATCTTATTATACTAATATTATAATTCTTGCACTGTTTATTTATGTATTTTTTATTTTTTTATTTATCATTGTTATATGTTATTTACTGTTATTATAAAATATGTTATCGTGTAAACTGTTATGTAAAGTGTGTATAGTGTCAAATTGGTTGTATACTGTAAGGATGCTATGCAGTTTTTAAATAAATAAATAAAAATAAATAAATAAAGAAATAAATGCGAATGTTTGGATGGATGGATGAACGGATGAAACATATAGGCTACTAATTAAGTTTTTTTTTTTAATTCGCGAACGAAGTCGCGGGCGATAGCTTGTTATATCATAAATCCACACGCTGTTTGAAACATCATGTTTTTTTATTCAAACACATAGTCATATCCTTAATATCACTTACTTCTGGATCAATGGCGTGATCAAATTTTCCAGAAGCTTGTCTGAATGCACCCTGAGTTATGTAATCTATGTTATTGTCGACAGCGTAGTATCCAGTCCTGAGAGTCAGGTTGGCTATGGGTATCTCCTTTAGGTAGAAACCTTGAGGGTCATACATTCTGAAATGTTAAAAATATAACAATTATAGAGGAAATAATTAAGTTTTTACTAAATAAATAGATTCATTTTAGATATCATTTTTTGTTATCATCAACCTAAAAGGCGTTTAAAGTAACTTAGTTTGAATTATATATATTTTATTAAAGCGAAAACTCACTTTACAGTTCCAGATTGTATGGTGTGGAACCAGCGCAGTACAGTCATATACTCGATAGAGATTTGAGGAACGAAATTCTCATTGTACGAATCCCGATGTCCCGTATGAGAAGAAATAACTCCTGCCTTTAATAAGTTTTCTTTACCTATAAGAAACGTATTATTTTACTAAGATATATTTTCATTAATATATAATACAATAGGTACATAAGTATCTTTATTACTTGTAGTTAAAGTGGTAGGAATGACTACATTTCTAGTGTTACAAATTGCACCATGAATCATTTGTTAAGAGCTTTTATAAAAGTAGTTTAATTATTTAACATTGGAATATTTGATATTCTTATAATATTATTCTAAATTACTTTTGTGTTTTTATTTTTAATTAAATTTACATTTACGTATTATGATTTGCCTATTTCATTATTTACGTACCAATAAATGCGGGCAACAATTCATACATGAAAATCTGCATCTGTATAGCAATAACAATATCTCTCGTGGTGTAGAACAGTCGGTCGTCGTCCCAGCAGGGGTTTATGCGTCCTAATGCCGTAGCAATGCGGTTATGCAGCCTCCAGAACCATATCAAGGACAGATTCACGCCCGCCACGCTGTTCACGCCCTCTTCCGCTGCAATTCAATCATACAACATATTCAAAGCGAATGTGATAAAAGCGTTATAATTTATTAAAATGATAATGTAGTTAATTTTTTTTTTTACAAAAAATCTATTAAAAGTGATTTTTATTTTCACACTAAAATTAATTAATTAATTAAGAAGACATACCATTAACCAGTTTAATATAATCGGAAATGTATATTATAAAAATTAACAAATATTTTTTTAATTTTCTATATCTAATATGTTTATTACATACGTGTATCATGACAGCGTGTCTCGTGAGGTTTTTGATTTAGCAAGCAAAGGTTCACAGGCCCCTTCGTACTCGGAGGCCATATTTTCCCATTCTCCACTTCGTACTTCAACAAGCCACCCCCAAATTTTCTCCCTTTCGTTAATAGCTTTTCCATCGTATTACCATACAGGACAGAAACGTCGAAAGTTGGGGTTGAACTTAAAATCTTAAAGTAAAAAAAAATTATAACTAAACGTATCCCACGGGAGTTATGCACATTTCCAGAATCATATGTAGCAAATTTTATCAATAGATAATTCATCAAAATACATTCAACAGTTCTAGAGATTTATACATCCATCCATACATCTAACATTCGCATCTAATAATATTGGTCTTATTGATAAACAGGTTAGGTGAATGACCTTATTCTCTTTCCAACGGTTTGTTGGAATCAAAAAATGGTGTCGCAAATTCTCTGTTATCGAACAGAAATACGATATGCGATTCATTAAGAAAATGACTAATAAATTTTAAAGTTTGCGGTCTCATCAGACTGCGACCAAATAACGGTTTTCTTAAAACATGTTTATAGACGCTTAAGGTTAACGCGCATTGCTCTACTCCTCATCCTCCCGGCACCGTCTCGCCTCGCTTTATCCCGCTCCATCGGCAACTAAAAGGTGGTGACGTGGAAATTCCGCGGCGATTGCGAGACGGGGCGGTGTCGGATAGGTAAGGAGTTGACAAGTCGGCGTTAATCCTTATTTAGCGATGTCCGCTTTAATTATGTCTTCATCGACTCTTAAGAATGTTAAAATTATAAAAGAATATAAAAGATAAAATCTTAAGTTTGGTGTTAAAAATAATTGAGTGCCAAACATACGCTCTGAATTAGCTTACTTCTTATTGCTGTCATTCAAAGATAAGCTAGTAACCCAATTTTAATAAGTATACGTAAAAATAATGAATATAGCTACAAATGTCCTTATTATGATAAATATTAAAAATAACATACTCTTTCGGGATTAGTATTGTTATTTACACAACCAACGGATTGAAAACTCTCTGGTCTGGTCATGTTTAGACATCTGATGTCAGAGAAGCGGTGGACGGGGTCGTTGTCTGGTATTTTGTTGGGCACACAAGCGTAGTCTGTTTTACCTTTCTCATTACAACAGTGAGGTTTCCATAGAATATACTTAACTGAAATATACAAATAGGTTTTAGTACAAGTTTTTCGGCAAACTCACGTTCGAAACACTTCTAGAAAAACATATTGTCATCATCACCTTAATACTAATATTGAAACCAGTTACTTACCAGTATCGTGGAACGACAATATATCTCCGTTCAGCAGCAAAAGAAAATGCGCTGTCAGTTGAGTGAACTTTTGATCAGGAACATTTCCCTCCAATAAGAGTCTTTTCCTTAAAAATCTGGCAAGCGGTAAGTTCCTTCCAGATTTGGATAGCCTGGGATTATAATCTGAAAAAAAATATTTTCACAAATATATTTAGTAAAAGTTTTAGTGGAAAATGTTTAACTCATTCATAAAATCAGATAGACAGCAGCTGCATTCAAACTTCTAAACATCAGATTAAAAAAATAAAAAAGTTTACAACTTAAGAACTAATAACCGTCAATTGACATAGTACAAAATGTTCTATTTCAACAGCTACAATTCAAGAATGTAACGAAGTATCGAATACCTTTATCGAAAATAGGGGGCAGTAATCTAACAGGTGGTGTGTGACTCATTCCCCTGGTGGGGTAGCGCAAATTGTTGCACGATCCATCCGGCCGCCTGCCTTCGTAAGGGTTGCAGGCAAAAAACTGACTGGTGCACCAACTACAAACAATCGCATACATAACTTCGTTATTTCACTTTTAAAATATTTATCTTAATTACAATCTGCTTTAGATAATGTTAACAGCGATGTAGTTATATTGGTAACTAAAACCAAAAACTATCTTCTGGTACTGAGCTTTACCTTCTTTTTTATAAATCTAAAAATCATTTTTTAAAATCTTGAATATCTTAATATACAGTTAATTAATGCATAAGTCAAAGTTTATATTTTTAATGAATATACTTACAACGTAGTATTTCTCTTGTCATGGCGTTTGAGTTCTTCCTGTGTTATTGGTGTTCCGGTGTACGAATCGTAAACTAGAAATGTTGAATTCACACAAACAAACAGCAAAGTAAACTGAACTAGTAATAAATACATTGTGCCAAAGGAATGCATTGGAACACTACGGCATCAGAGTAAACAGTGTGAACTCTAAAAGAACTCAAACATGAATGTCGCCGGTTTTGCAAATTTAAAGGGATTTTCTTTGAATCTCGAGAACATAAAAACAGGTTTGCATTTAATTAAAAAAATCAAGCAGATACCATACAGCTTTAAATTATGTGATACACGCGAAGTGCCCGGTGATAATTAATAGACGTATGTCGAAGGATTCCGTACTGGTTTTATTATAAAACCAGTACGGAATCCTTCGACATTATAAATATTTTAAAGACCATTTCTGCTTTTGCAATTCAGTTTTTTGTTTTAGTAAATGTTTGTTTTAGTCAAATCCTTAGATTTGATGCCCATGTTGAGGGGGTTGAGCAAAATTATGACGTCCGCCATCTTGTTTCGGTGGCCTCGATCGATTTACAATAATACTGAATATAAAAAAGAAATTGTTATGATAACTGACTGAGGTATCTCATCTTAATATTTGTGGCCCAAAAACCACGATGTCTCTTAAACCATCGCCATTACCTTTTTGAATAACAGTTTTTTTTTACAATGAACCCTAATATCAAACATAAACAAAGATCCCACGGAATTATAAATAAAACATCTCTTTTTTATGACAAATCAAATTTCAACGTCGGCTACAGATGTTTATTGAATTACAACCAAATCAAGGATACTATTATAAATAAATTTACATAATATTTATATTGAGGCTCCTAACGGTACTTGCTAAAAACCGTTAACGACAAATCTTTACGAATAAAGGATTCGAAATATTTAATACAAAATATAATAACTCTAACATTTAACAGACGATAAAATAGGTAACAAAACGTAAAAAAAACAAACAGTTTAAATAACTATTTATTACAAAATCCATAAGCCTTTTCTTAGATCTATAAGGGTACCTAATTATGGATAGTGATACTACTATCATTTCAAAAACTCTGTTTGAAATAGCGAGGCGGGGTCGTATAAAGGATCCAAGGATAACTTCGTGGCTGTCCCACAAGTTTCATCCTTCCAAGTCCAGAGGTTAACGAATTCAATATCTTTGCAACTGCACATCGGGTTACTGGAATAAAATTTGAATGAAAATATTGCCACGTCCGTAAAATTTTATGATTCTAGCTCTGCTTTATGAGATGTTAAATCTTTATTGGAATATTATTAAGTTAAATATTATATTTTCTCTATTTGAATACGTACTTGTTGCTAATCCTGTAGAAAGCATGTCGTTGTATTTGGGTCACTTTATCTCCGACGTCGCACAGCAGCCGCGCCACCGTCGCCTTTCTTATCTCCAACAGTTGTTCTGGATATCAAAGTATTATTATTTTAAAGCTTATTATGATTTTAATCAATTCCTGAAATTCGAAAAAATATCTTACCGTATGTGAAAGCATTTGGTCTATTAGGTCTCTCATACCAATGTCGGTCTGACCTGATGACTCTTAGCAATTGTTCTACCACTATGCAGGATAGAGTAGGTGGTACATGGCCGCCCGTGATCGCTTTCTCTAACCAAATACCTGCTAGAAGGTCTATGTCTTCTACGTCTTCGTACACATCTCTTAGCATCTCCACTCTCTGAAAACACATAAGCAACTAGATATATTTTCTTCTCAGTTATCTCACAATTTCAGCGACATTCTTCAATGTCAAAGAAAAGGAAAATGTTAAGAATGATATTTAAGTATTCATACTTCGGGATCAATAGCTTGTTTTAGATCATCAAAAGTTTTGAAAGATTGCTTGAAACAAAGTTCTCTGTATTTCACATAAGGCTGGAACCCGAACAGACGATTCTTTGCCAAATCGTTTGTTAGTAAATCAGCCGCCCGCTGAAATTGTCCCAAGCCTATATTTACAATCTGAAAAAATGATTGTGTTTTAATTTTATATATCGAAGTGTTTATTTAATGATTACCAAGTTAATATATAATAAAACGTACGTCGGGATCTACGATATAATCAAACTTAGCAGAGCCTTGCCTAAAGTTGCCTTGCGTCACATAATCCATGTTGTCTTCTACACCAAAGAATCCAGTTCTGATTGTGAAGTTGACTATTGGAAGTTTTCTTAAGTAATGGCCTTCAGTATCGAATAATCTGTAAAATATCAAAACAAATAACTTTTAATACCAACCGAATCGACCAGACACATTACATATAGACGTAGATCAAGCATTTTCACAAAAAAAGGACATAAAATCACTTACTTCATATCACCTTCTTGTGTTGTATGGAACCAACGTAGGACGAAGGGAAACTCCAATGATATTTGGGGAAAAAGTTCGTTATTATAGAAATCCCTAAATCCTGGTGTTGACGATATAACTCCGTCTTTTAACAGATTTTCACGGCCTATCGAATAGCGGAATATTTAAATTACATTTTGGTCAAATAATAAGATCAAAAAATATATAAGTTAGACGCTGTTTAGTCTCTAGTTAGTGTTTAGACTCTAGTCTAGCATCAGCGTGCGATAAAAATTAATAAGTGTTTAAAGTAAAATTTAATTGTAACACAAGTTTTTATGGCTAGAGGCCGTATTAAAAATCATACCAAACAAAGCTGGTAATAATTCATAGTAGAATATTTGCATGACTATAGCAATATTTATGTCTCGAGCAGTATAGAACAACTTATCATCGTCCCAACATGGGTTGATCTTGGACAAAGCTTTTGCAATGAGATTATGCTGCCTCCACAACCAGACCGTCATCAAGTTGATTCCAGCTAAGCTGTTGCCTCCCTTTTCAGCTGAAATAATAGCAGTTTAGTTACAATTAAGGAATAAAAACTAGATTATTGATTATTTTTTCATAAAAGAAAGGAAAGAAGCGGCCGGAATACCCAGCTGATTGTCGGCGCCCATGGATATCGGCACCTGCAACTGGAACTGCTAATACGTTGCTTTTGGTAATCAAATTGACTTACGAATAGCATGACATCGTTTTTCTTGCGGTCTTTGATTTGCCAAACAAACATCTAATCCAGTCTTAATACTCGGGGGCCAGACTCGGCCGTTGTCCACTTCGTATTTTAATAGACCACTTTGAAATAGCCGGCCTTTTTCCAACAAAGGCTTCAAAGAACTACCGTAAACTGTTGACAGATCAAACG